AAATTTAGATTTTCTCAATATGTTATTAGGACCAAGTTTGACCGAGACCAAGTGTTTTATTAGATCCCACATTTAAATAGATATAACTTACCCGGTGGGAAATCGGCTAGCGAATAGCTAGCTATAATCGTAACAATAAAGACAATGATTTGGCCACGAGAATTGTTAGCTTCTTTAAAATAGCGAAAAACTATCGATATTTGTAAAGATAAAAACAGCGATTTGGCTACGAGGACAGCTAGCTTAATAAGCTAAAAACCCACTGGCTATTGCAGCTAGCGTCATATCGTAATAAATTTGCTGTCTGAAAACTTTCGATATGTAGCTATCAACCAGCTATAGATATATAGATATTTTGTAGCTAGCTACAAAGCTACAGTATGTAGCTAGCGACACATTGCGACAAAATCGCAATTTTTAAAGTTCAATTATTTTTATAATTATAATAGAATTAACACTAAAAATCGAATTTTTAAAAATGTTAAAGACATAAGGAAAAATAAAATAAGAAAAAAAAATTTCTTGAAAATCGCTATAAAGCTAGCTAGTCGCTCTCTAGTCGCAAGTTCATTTCTCACCGGGTGAGTACAACTTTTTTCCATCGCATTTATCAAAGATAAGACCTTCGTGATAAGATCATTACAATCTTCTTGAAGTCCGGCCGTTACTATTTAATTATAAATTTCATTTTATATTTTGACTCAGGAGACTTGTAAATATTACACCTTTAATTAAGATGAAATTTCTCTAAAGCTCCCAAAACATGCCATAAGAATAATATCCAACGCAGACTGTCTCTATCATTCACAACCACTATTTATTAATCTAAAATTTTAAATATTTACCAGATAAATGTATATATCATCATTTAATTTTTATGTACAAAATTAATAACGGTACGATGCCAAATATTTTTAAAACGCTATTTAAAAAAATACAGAACTATCTTTAATATCTTATTGGACATGTAAACAATAATTATATTCAAACTAAAACTCATTTGAAGTCACTAAGTTTTCTATCACAGTTAGAGGTCCCCCAATTATGGAGTATAGTAATTAGAAATGACATCAAAACGCTTGAAAACATAAATATTTTTAAATCAAAGCTAAAGAAATAATTTTAATTAATCAAAACATGAAGGACTTCTTCTAGAGCTATATTTAATTGGTCTTTAAAATATTGTATAGTATATTTTCATTTGATTTGCAAGGATTTAAAAAATTTGGTTCTTTATAAAATTCTTATTTTTTATTTTATATTTATTTTCTTATTATATAAAACTAAAAATTTTTCTTAAAATTTTTAATTATTTTCATTATATTTCTTAATTCGGAATTCTAATCGTAATAATTAAAAACTGTTACATATAATTTTGAATATTTTTTTCGTTTTTTTAATTTTATTTTTGCTTTGTGTTTATTATTGAAAAAAAATTTTGTAATTTATTATCTTTTTTTTTTTTTTCTTTTTTTTTTTTTTTTTTTTAATATTTGACAACATTTTTAATGGTAAGATTTGATGGCTATATTATTTACGGTTATTGGGGGTTTGGCGATAACATTATTTTGTCTTTTTTTTGCACCCCGCCATTTTTATATTTTACAAATACGAGAGTTGTAATTATTTTAAACGGCAAATTTATAATAATTATAAAAAAATCTTACTTGTATTTTTTTTTAAAAGGTATTTAAATTTAAATTTATATTTTTGAAATAATTGGTTTGTTATTATTCTATTGTTAAACGCTTCACGTTGACAGGATCTTACTATCATATTCGAGTTTCTGTGTTCTCATATATTATGTGTAACGACATTTTACCAGAAAGAATTGTTAAATCACGTAAAAGGTTTTTATTTGTATAAATATATAGATATAGAATAATATATCTAATATATCTAGCTTTAATTGGCTAATATATCTAGCTTTAATTGTTGTATACAACAAAATAGTTCATAACACTTCTTATCTTTTTTAAAAACATCCTTTTTCTTTTAAAAGCTTCACGAATGTAATTAATTTTAATTATTGCTGGGTATTTAAACTGATTTAAATTTACATATTTGTTTGGCTTCACTTCTGGAAAATTATATATTTATTTAGATAAAATGCTTAATAAAAAAATTAGTGTTATTTAACATTGAAAGATACCTCAAACAATGCTGTATATTCTATGTTTTGTGTAATGTTCAATTGCTTTGCTGGGAAAAAATCATAATCATAAACTTTATGATAAAGATAAATCAACTTGTTGATAATATCAGAAAGTAAAAGAAGCAATAGAAAAATAGCAAGTTGGCATTGTAATTTAATGGTACGTATAAAACCAAATGCAAATATTCATCCAGGTTCGAAAAGAGCCTTGGACATATTTTCGCGTCACGGTAAGAAAGGTGGCGTGAACTTCCTGGATAAATGCACTTCCGCGGTGTTCTATGACAAGACCATCTGGTCTTCTTGGGGCACTTAAACAACAACAATAAAAAACAAAAAAATTCAAACTTTCTTGGCTTTGACAATGTAGTTTCAGAATCAAATTTTAGAATAGCTAAATAGTAAAACTTATGAAGTAAGAAAAGAATTATTTGATTGTTTAAGTACCAATCAAAAAAAACAAATATGGATAAAGGAAAGAAGATATCAAAAAAGATAAAGCTCTGCGTCTTATAGCAATGTAAGAAGAATAAAAATAGAGAACTATACCAAAAAAAAAGAGAAAGCGTGTAGTAATTTAATAAGTTTAAATATAAAAGCATAGATTTCATTGGAAGAAGCTGTAGAAAAATTTGTAATATGGAAGAATCTTTAAAATTAAAAGTACTCTTTGCTCAACTTAAATTTTATTTTTTCATCTTTTCATTTATAAATTGTTATAACTTTGCTAATTCTTATTCAAATATCTATAACTTAGTATCAAAAGATAGATGTAAAAATAGACTTTAATTTAGTTTCAGTGTAAAGGGCGCATCGAGGGGTACGAATTTTGACCATATAAAGTTTCAACCCCCTCAATTTGAGGGGGTTGCAAAGTTTATATGGTCATAATTTTTGAACACTAAAATATTTTACTTTGAATTTTAAAATTTATCGATAAATATATGTCTAGCTGAAAATAGTACAAGAAATATTTCATCAACTTGGATTTCTAACGTTTGGGGCAGGGGGGATAAAATTTTAGGGTTTCTTGTTCCTATTCCCAATCTCAATAATTTTATTTCGTGAAGAATCTTTTCATCATATATATGAACGAGCACAAATTAAAAACAAAAGTAAGTGAAAGAGATTTAGGAGTGATTATTTCATCCGACCTTTAATGGCATGATCAAGTGATTTCAGCGACATCAAAGACGCAAAGAACTTTGGGTCTTATTAAACGCACGTTTACATACTTCGATGTGGAAATGGTTTAATCACTGTATACGACATTTGAGAAAAGAAAAGCTAGAGGAGATCTTATACAGCAATACAGATTCAAGCAAAATATAGACCAAATAAATTGGTACAAAAATCCCAAACTGGAATCATCCGTGACTAGTTCAGGCCCGGCTTTTTCTGTAAGGGGCAATAAATACAGGTTAGAAAGAGAATACAATTTCTTTACCAATCGAGTTTGTAAAAATTGGAATTTGTTTCTAAATGAAATCATTGAAGCAAGATCGTTGAATGTTTTCAAAGCGCGAATAAATAAACATTTTTGATAACTTGAGTTTTTTTTTTAATTGTGTGGGCTGTCTATAACCCGTTGCTTGCATCGCGTTCCACAATTTATTTTATTTTTAAATACTTATATTTAAACAAATTTGTAATTGTTACAGCTATAAATATTATTATTATTATTACTTACTATATATATATATACATATATATATATATATATATATATATATATATATATATATATATATATATATATATATATATATATATGTATAGATATATATATATATATATATATATATATATATATATATATATATATATATATATATATATATATATATATATATATATATATATATATATATATATATATATATATATATATATATGAGATCTTTTTGTGCCTTGGCCAATAGTAACCTTATGTTAGATTCAATTGCCAAAACGGGACTTGGAATATCTGTAGTCGATAAATTAAAGAATTGAATAATCTTTTTTTTTTTGTTGAAGTTACCAAAAAACCGTAAGACAACAACCCCCACTTAACACTTATTCGCACCGGCCCTAAACGCACCTCCCCTCCAATCCACTCCCCTCTCCCCCCTCACTTAGTATCTACTTGCGCCAGCCCTTTTAATAAGCTGACTTCTTTCAGAGTAAACCTTTAATAAAAAAGAAAAATATAAAAAGAAAAACTTTAAAACATTAGAAAGCCTTAAGAAGAGTTTGGTATTCGGTATTAATACACTTCAATGAGTACCACGTTTTTTACTTTGAAAAAAACAAACTTTAAAAATTATTTTAATAACTTTCATGTGAATTTTCACTGTATGTGACACCAAGCATTTTCTGATTATTACCGTGAATTTTCACTGTATTTAGCAAAAACGTTTCTTTAGGTACAGTGAATTTTCACTGTTCCTAATATCAAGCATTAACTAATCAAATTATTCGCTCTCATTTATTTTTATTACCCATGGGTTTTTAACGAACTTAGAATTTTCTAAAATATAAAAAATTTCAAGTCATATAATATAGAAAATTTCGAGTCAATTTTTTTCTTGCAAAAAACCCGAAAAGCTTTTTTGCAAACATGCTGGCTTGTTTAAAAATTTTTTTAACAGATTTCAAATATTATTGAAATGTGCAAAAAGCGAAGTTTAGTTTAAAATAGAAAGATCAAAACAAACGGTAATATAAAAGAATGGTTTAATTCGAACTGATTTTTGAATCAAAAAATTCTATTTACTACGAAAGTAAAAAATATTTAGTATGCAAGTAACAAGAAAACTCCTAAAAATGCTAATTATTTTAGTGAATAAATTAAATTCGCTTTTAG